CAAATTGATGAACAAGCCATTAACGTGCGGTCTTCAAAATATCTATCTTGCTACCGTCGAATCAAATAAAATTTAAAACATAAAAATGTAATATTTTAAATAAATATACTAGAAGTGAAAAATTAACAACACGGAAATCAATTTAATAATTAACACCATTGTTATAAAAAAAAACCATAAACAAAATTAAACATTGAATAACACATTACTTTTGAAAACATTGAAAACACAATTTAGAAGCGGCAAGAAAAATGCCAATTGTGAACTTAAAGAACTTATTACCAAACAAATTTCAAACAATTCTGTTTATTGTTTTCTTCCAACAATAAAATGTTAATTTTACGGTTTATAGCAAAGCAGGACCTTAATTTTAACCTAAATTAAGAAGCAAATTCTATATAAAAAGAAAAAATGGAAGTTTAGAGAACATAATAGAACATATGATGTCAAATAAATCTAATTTGTTTTTGAGAGTGTGTACTCTCATATTCTTTGGATTGCACTTCATAGTCTACGAAACCGATGCTAAAAAAGTGGTTGAAGTCGATGTAGACGACACCATTCGAGAAGAGGGATTGACAGACCAAATTGTAAAGCATCCAAAAGGAATATCCATTTCTTCATCTAGATCAAGCCAAAGAACATTATTTCACTTGACCCCTCCTCCACCCATCGTCCTTAGAATGTTATCGAAAGGCGTGCCCATTCCTCCATCTGGGCTGAGTCAAAGGACGTCAGACTATCCACCTCCTCCAATGCGTGCATCATCTCACATTTTAAACAAACAATCTAAGATCAATTCTGGGATGTTACCAAAAGGCGTACCCGTTCCTCCGTCGGGGCCGAGTCAAAGGACGTCAGACTATCCACCTCCTCCACCACATGCATCATTTGTCATTTTAAACAAACAATCTAAGATCAATTTTGGAATGTTACCGAAAGGTGTACCCATTCCTCCGTCTGGGCCGAGTCAAAGGACGTCAGACTATCCACCTCCTCCACCGCATGCATCATCTGTCATTTTAAACAAACAATCTAAGATCAATTTTGGAATGTTACCAAAAGGTGTACCCATTCCTCCGTCTGGGCCGAGTCAAAGGACGTCAGACTATCCTCCTCCTTCCCCGCATGCATCATCTGTCATTTTAAACAAACAATCTAAGATCAATTTTGGAATGTTACCAAAAGGTGTACCCATTCCTCCGTCTGGGCCGAGTCAAAGGACGTCAGACTATCCTCCTCCTTCCCCGCATGCATCATCTGTCATTTTAAACACACAATCTAAGATCAATTTTGGAATGTTACCAAAAGGTGTACCCATTCCTCCGTCTGGGCCGAGTCAAAGGACGTCAAACTATCCACCTCCTCCACCGCATGTTCTTTGGCCTAAAATCAACTTTGGAATGTTACCGAAAGGTGTACCCATTCCTCCGTCTGGGCCGAGCCGAAGAACATCCGACCATCCTCCTCCTACACCACATACTCCTTCCATTACACTATGGATATAATCTAAGATTTATTTTGGGATGCATCCTAAAAAACTTATAACACCACCTATGTTGACCTAACACCAATATGACTAACTCATCTACCCAAATGTTCATCCCAATTTTAAGGTTATATTAGTGGCCTTCATTAAATGTAACTATGAGTATAATACATATTCAATAATAATAATAAAAAATTAATGGGGAAGGTTATAATTTGCCAGGTTTGAATTTCCTATTTCATATATCTACTTTCATTACATTTTTGACCGTGAAGAACCTAAAGAGTAATTTAGTTAAATTTACAACGTAAATAGGAGAAAATATGTCGTACCACTTTATTAAAAAATGAAGAGCATGATTTTTTTTGTTTAGGAATCGCTGCTTAAGCAGGAAATCAAATCGTTTCTATTAAATTTCTTCAAATATAACTTAAAAGAGTATTGAACATATAGTTTCTAGGAAATATGTGTAACATGCATCATCGGTCTCCACATAAAATCAACTAATCAGACGATCTACCGATCTTCAAATTCATCCTTTCAGCATTACGGAGGTCCACATGGGAAAGAAAGAATCACTGTCTAAGAGACCATCCCCTATATCAATACGAAAAAAAGTTCAAATTCTCTCTTCCTCACAATTCCATCAATTTGGGTTAGAAAATTAAATATCAAAATTATCTATATCAATTTTTGCAAAGAGATTAGCATGAGAATAGACCTAGAATTATTAAAGTCGTCAAAATTAGCTAAAAATGAGATAAGAAGAGAAATAAATAAAAATAAAAAATAAATAAATGTAGGGAAGAATCTCCTAGTCGAGACTATTTCTTAAAGTATTTGAGGTATGTCTACTAGTCGATAACTTTAAGTTATTTTTCAGCCAAAAATGGATTTAGTTAATACGGTTAGAAGAGTTGGATCATATATTATGTATTAACTCAATCTCAAAAACTCACCTAGTTTGAATTGGACTTAGACAAGCAGGTTTAACCTAGTTCTGAGGATAATTTGTAACTCGCCATTGGACAACCAACTAAGTGGTTTCCCTACTAGCTTGATTGGATGAATGGTTTGATGCATGGATAACGTGTGTGTTGTGGCCCTGCACGTGTCGTGCTATGGGGAGACCTATCCTTTTAACATATCACAACATGGCCTTAGACAGTTTTTTTAGTCCGGGCAAGATTGGATGTGCAGTTCTTCTCTCACATGACCCATGTATGTGAGCATGGACCCACCAGGTGGGCTCGCACACCCCCTGGATCTGGCTCGATGGGCTAGCATTTGCTAACGAGTTCATGTTGAACAGCACAGAGAGAAAGGGTCTGCATAACACCACGACGCACATAAATATCGAAAATCATAAGTCGTAATGTAAGTATCCCGATGCACGACACACTAATATGCATGAGTTCCTCATAGCATAATCTACCTCATATACACATGACACACTAAAGGTCGAGAGATTTTTGGAATAAATTGTCTGACGTCTATTTTAAATACCCCTCCACCCTACCTAGGTTTTCATCCAAAGAAATATAAAGCAGTAGTATTCTACAAGGTGTCTCGTAATCTCTTCTCGATTTGTGTTAAGAAAGAGTGCGAGTGTTCTCACAGAGAATACTGTTCAATAATCTGGTATCAGAGCAAGGTTAGTGTAGGTTGTCTGATCTCTTGAAATTCTTAGTATGCTCTATGGTTGCAGCTCTGTCTTAACTTCCACATCAGAAACGATTTCTTGAGATTATTAGTGAGTGAGTTTATTTTGTACCATGAGCAGTCTGTGACTCTGCAAGTCTTGTGTCGAAAGAGCCCTTTTGGTATTACTTAGGTATTGCCAACACGATGGGTGATTTCCATATCGTTGGAGGAATCAAGAAACTCAACAACAACAACTAAAACTCGTGGGCAACATGCATGATGTTCTATTTACAAGGACGTGATCTATGGGAGATCGTTGGCGGGAGTAAAACTACGCCGCCAGAGGAGGATCCTAACGGCGCCTTGCGCAAATGGAGAATCAATGCAGGCAAAGCAATTTTTTCCTTGAAGACCACAATCAAAGAAGAGATGTTAGATCATATTTGGGATGACAAGACACCGAAAGAAGCATGTACCATGTTCGTGATGTTATTCCCAAAGAAGAACGATACGAGGCTACAACTGCTGGAGAACGTGCTATTATCAATTTCACTGCGTGACATGAAGATTGCTCAGTATTTCCACAAAGTGAACTCAATCTGCCAGAAGATTACTGAACTAGACCTGAAGTCTGCAATTGGAGAAGATCGAATGAAGAGGATCATCATCCATGGATTGCGGTTAGAATATAGATGATTCATTATGTCTGTTCTAGGATGACCCACTCAACCATCATTTGTAAAGTTTGAAAATTTGTTAGCGAGCCCATGGCTAAACAAACGGGAGACATCACATTGAAGGGTGAAGAAGAAGCACTCTACACAAGTGAAAGTCGAAACAATATAAGCCATCTACTAAACGTGGATACAAAAACAGTGACAAAAGAAGAAGTCATCAAGGAACTGCACAGCCTGAGAGAGCTCAGAAGAATGACAATAATAGTTCAAAAGAGATTTGAAGGTATTTTCTACAATTGCGGGTAGAAGGGCCACATGTTCAGAGATTGTTGGTTCAAGAAAAAAAATCTGTCAAAAGCAATGTGGCATCCTCCAACATGGAGATGGAAGAGGAAGGTACTACATGTCCTACAGTGCATAAGAGTGCAACTCAAGGTCTACAGTGGAGTGATCTATAGTTACTGTATGGAAATTGATTAATTAAAGAGTTTAATTAATTAATTAATTTTGTATCTTTGGAGCTTATAATATGTAGGTCCATAATGTCTCCTTGCTAGCTCATAGTAATGCGCTAAGAGGTTCAATTTATTTGAAAGAAAATTTGAAGTGTTCAAATTGATATTTAATATTGCATATATATATTAAATATAAAGGAGAAAATAAATGTAATTTGAAATGTCAAATTAGTATTAATATATTAGATATATTAAATAAATAGAGAAAATATATTTAATTAGAAGGGTTCAAATTAATACTTAATATATTAAATATGTTAAATATAAATAGAGAAAAATATATTAATTTGACCATTTGAATGGTGAAATTAATATTTAATATATTAGATATATTAATAGAAAAATATATTTATTGTATTAGATATAATTAAATATTAAATCAATTAATGTATTTTGATATATTAAATAAAAATATATTTGAAATTTGAATGAGATTCAAATTAATTAAGTATATATTAGGATATCTTATAATATCTAAATATGATTTGTATGAGGTATTATATCTTAATATATTAAATATGCAAATATATCATTTGACAAATATTCTCCAAGAGTCCCTATAAATAGGACCCTCGGGTTAGCCAAAGACACACAATCTCTCCCACTTTCTCTGGAGAATGAAATTATATCTCTAGAGAATTCTCGAAACAAATTTGTTTATGATCGTTGGGGACGATGGGAGATCATATTGATTATGAGAATGACCGGATCGTTGATACAGGATGCTCAAACCATATGATTGGCGATCAGAGAAAGATGCAAGACAAGAAAGAGTACAAACGAAGTCGTAAGGAAAGCACAACAAATAACACAGTTGTCAATTGCTAAAATCGGTAATACGACAATCATGCATGGCAATAAATCTAATAGAGTGTTACATAATGTATATCATGTACCTGGTATAAAGAAAAACTTGTTGTCAGTGAAACAACTAACAAAATAAGAAAACTACGTCTTTTTTGGGACAGAAGATGTGAAAGTCTATAAAGATGTTAAGATAATAGGAAAGCTGACAATAGAAGGGCGAAGAGTGGAGTCCGTTTACGTCCTATCTGCAGAGTCTGCCTATGTTGACAACACCCGGAAGAATGAGACAACAGATCTATGGCATGCAAGATTGGGACATGTTGGCTACCACAAGTTGAAGCTTATTATGGAGAAATTCATGCTCAAAGGTCTAGCTCAACTTGAAGTCAAAGCAGACGTTGTTTGTGCTGGATGTGAATATGGTACAACTCATCAATTACCATACAAAGAGCTAAAATTCAAAGCAACGAAACCATTAGAGTTAATTCACTCTGATTTGTTCGGTCCAGTTAAACAAGCATCAATCAGTGGAATGCGGTATATGGTGACGTTCATTGACGACTACTCAAGATATCGGTGGATTTTCTTTAAGAACGAAAAGTCTGACACGTTTTCAAAATTTCAAGAATTCAAGATGATGATCGAAGGAGAAGTATGAGTGAAGATTTGTTGCTTACGTTCAGACAATGGCGGAGAATACACGTCAGATGAGTTTGATCAATATTTACACGAGTGTGGGATACGACGTCAGTTTACATGTGCCAAAATGCCACAACAACCTGGTGTAGTAGAAAGAAAGAATCGCCAACTTGCAGAAATTTGTTGAAGCATGTTACACGCAAAGAATGTTATACGAAAATTTTGGGTTGAAGCTATGCAAACTGCTGCCCATGTGATCAACAAGCTTCCCCAACCAAGGCTAGGATACGTCTCACCATTTGAGATACTATGGCACATGAAACCTACAATCAGCTACTTCCAAGTATTTGGTTGTGTTTGCTACGTATTTGTGCCTGACCACCTACATAGCAAGTTTGATAAGAAAGTAGTGAAGTGTATATTTGTTGGATATGACAATCAAAGGAAAGGGTGGAAGTGATGTGATCCAAGTGAAAAATACTAGGAATAAATATACACAAATTTTTTCTAGAGATATTTTAGGAAAAAGGTTGAGATATTTAAGGAATAAATTGTCTCACCTCCATTGTAAATACCCTCCACCCTACCTAGGAATTCATCCCAAAAAAATATAAAACAAGAGTATTCTGCAAAGTGAGTTATAATCCCTTTTCAATTTGTGTTAATAAAAAGTAAGTATTTTTCCCATAGAATTTTGTTCAACAATATTATTTATTAACTCAATGTCGAAAACTCACCTAGGTTTAATTGGACTTAGAGAAGCAGATCTAAGCTATTTCCGAGGATAATTTGTAACTCGACGTAGTACAACCAATTAATAACTTCACTACTAGCTTGATTGGATGAATGGTTTGATGCATGAACAACGTGTATGTTGTGCCATGGGGGGACCTATCCTTTTAACATATCACAACATGTCCTTAGATAGTTTTTTAGTTCGAGCAAGATTGGATGTGTAGTACTTCTATGCACATAGCCCATGTATGTGAGCATGGACCCACTAGGTAGGCTCACACACCCCCTAGATATGGCTCATCGGGTTAGCACTCGCTTATGAGTTCTTGTTGAATACCACAGAGTGAAAGGGTCTGCATAACATCATAACGCACATAAATATAAAAAATCATAAGTCGTAATGTAAGTATCCCGATGCACATGACACATTAATATGCATGAGTTCCTCGTAGCAAAATCTATGATATAAGACAAACCTCCATTTATCTATAACATAGGTGAATTATGCTTTCATAATTCCTGTACGTTCAATAGTATGTAACATAGATTTCATGGCATGGTCTATGGAGGTTTATACATCATAGATTTTCGATAACATATAACCCTTATACAACACTACATGATCACAAAATAGAATAGCTTATCATAGCATAACGTCGCATAACATGACATAAGTTATTAAATGGCACGCGTCATCATACAAGCTACAATTCGTCAGACTGAGTCAATAGTAGAACCAATTACTTATTTGGTCTAGGTTGGAGTTACTAATTATTCTTGGTACTAGCTTGAATCTGCTCCTCAATGATCAATTCAACTTTAAAATCTATCATCTTTGTTTATAAACCATACTTCTTTCAGATGCTACTTAAAATGAGGTACAAAATGTATGAGATTGTGATGCTGGAAGTGGATCTAAAGGAGTTTCAAGACTCTAGCATTGTTTTCTAGATCTTTTGAAATGAACAACCTTAGCATTCAAGGGCATGTTGTGGAATTGACCTGCACCCTTACGAGGTGTCCAATTAGACAAGGTGCCGGTATGAAAAGTACCTAAACGCCATTAATTTCTTCTGTGAAGTTTTCTGCTTTGCTAAATTTCCGTGCATCAAATGAACGATTTGAACGCACAACCCATGCAAGAGCAAATTGATCTCCAAGCATTTGTTATGTTTTCATGAATTTTAAACGGTATATCTTCAATAATTTTGGAGGAAAGCCTTAGCCCTTAAAGTTCCATCTCGAATACCTCTCACAGCCATAAACCCTGAATTCAAAGGTTGTGTTTGTTGTACCCAAATTCCATACAAAATGATACGATACCAATTGTTGTGACAGAAATAGAAATCTACATAATGCTGGCAACCACCTCTATCAACATATTGATATGATCATTAGGAGTTCCAATTTTAAATAAATGATTCTCCCTTCATTAACAATTTCTTGAACAAAATGAAATTAGACATGAATATACTTGGTTGAAGCATGATGGACTGGGTTCTTGGACAAACAAACATAACCTCGCTATCACAAAAATATGGAAACCACAATTTAGAAATCCGTAAGAAAAATGTCAATTGTGGACCTTAAAACTTATTACCAAACAAATTTCAAACGGTTTGTTGTTTTTTCCAAAAATAAAATGTTAATTTTAGGGTTTATGGCAAAGGGACCTTAATTTTAATTGAAAAGCAAATTCTATATAAAAAGGAAGAAATGGAAGTTTAGATATCATATTTTATAGAAAATATGATGTCTAATGTGTTTTTGAGGGTCTGTACTCTCATTTTCTTTGGAGTGCACTTTATAGTCTACGAAACGGATGCTAAAAAAGTGGTTGAAGTCGATGTAGACGACACCATTCGAGAAGAGGAATTGACGGACCAAATTGTAAAGCATCCAAAAGGAATATCCATTTCTTCATCTAAATCAAGCCTAAGAACATTATTTCACTTGACCCCTCCTCCACCCGTCGTCCTTAGAATGTTACCGAAAGGCGTACCCATTCCTCCATCTGAGCCGAGTAAAAGGCATAATCACTACCCACTTCCTCTACCGCATACTTCATCTGTCATTTTAAATAAACAATTTAAGATGAATTTTGGAATGTTGCCGAAAGGCGTACCCATTTCTTTGTTTGGGTCAAGTAGAAGGCATAATGACTACCCACCTCCTCCACCGCATGCTTCATCTGTCATTTTAAAAGATGTACCCATTCCTCCGCCTGGGCCAAGTCAAAGTATTCTACAAAGTGCCTTGTAATCTTTTTTAGATTGGTGTACCATGCATCAGTTGTCTCCAGATAAAATCAACCCTACCTAGGTTTTCATCCCAAGAAATATAAAACAAGAGTATTCTACAAAGTGCCTTGTCATCTCTCTTCGATTTGTGTTAATAAAGAGTGCGAGTGTTTCTCACATAGAATTTTGTTCAACAATATTATGTATTAACTCAATGTCGAAAACTCACCTAGGTTGAATTGGACTTAGAGAAGAAGATCTAAGTTAGTTTCGTGGATAATTTGTAACTCGACATAGTACAACCAATTAATAACTTCACTACTAGCTTGATTGGATGAATAGTTTGATGCATGAACACCGTGTGTGTTGTGAACCTGAACGTGTCGTGCTATGGGGGGACCTATCCTTTTAACATATCATAGCATGGCCTTAGACAGATTTTTAGTTCGGACAATTTTGGATGTGTAGTACTTCTCTGCACATAGCCCATGTATGTGAGTATGGACCCACTAGATGGGCACACACACCCCCTGGACCTGGCTCGTCGGGCTAGTACACGCTAACGAGTTCTTGTTGAATACCACATTGTGAAAGGGTCTGCATAACATCATAACGCACATAAATATCAAAAATCATAAGTCGTAATGTAAGTATCCCGATGCACATGACACACTAATATGCATGAGTTCCTCGTAGCATAATCTATGATATAAGACAAACCTCCATTTATCTATAACATAATAAATCGGTGAATTATGCTTTCATAATTCTTGTACGTTCAATAGTATGTAACATAGCTTTCATGGCATGGTCTATGGAGGTTTATACATCATAGATTTTCGATTCCATATAACCTTTATACAACACTACACGATCAAAAATAGAATAGCTTATCATAGCATAACGTCGCATAACATGACATAAGTTATTAAATGGCACGCATCATCATACATACTACAATTCATCAAACCGAGTCAACAGTAGAACCAATTACTTAGTTGGTCTAGGTTGCATAACGTCGCATAACATTACATGATTTATTAAATGGCACGCGTCATCATAAATACTACAATTCATCAAACCGAGTCAATAGTAGAACCAATTACTTAGTTGGTCTAGGTTGGAGTTACTAATTATTCCCTGTACTAGCTTGAATCTGCTCCTCAACGATCAATTCAACTTTAAATCTTTCATCTTTGTTTATAAACCATACTTCCTTGAGATGCTACTTAAAATGAGGTACAACATGTATGAGATTGAGATGCTGGAAGAGGATCTAAAGAAGTTCCAAGAATCTAGCATAAACCGTTTTCTCGATCCTTTGAAATGAACAGCCTTAGCATTCAAGGGCATGCTGTGGAATTGACCTGCACCATCAAAAGGTGTCCAATTGTACAAGGTGCACGTTATGGAAAGTACCTAATCACTATTAATTTCTTCTATGAAGTTTTCTGCTATGCTAAATTTTCTTGCATCAAATGAGCGATTTGAACTCCTAACCCATGCAAGAAAAATTGATCTCCAAACATTCGTGATGTTTTCATGAATTTTAAACGGTGTATCTTCAATAATTTTGGAGGAAAGCCTTGGCCCTTAAAGTTCCATCTTGAATACCTCTCATAGCCATAAACCCTGAATTCAAAGGTTGTGTTTGTTGTACCCAAATGCCATAACTAAAGTGCTATGATACCAATTGTTATAGTAGAAACAGAAACAAGATCGATCACACTCACACACCTACGAACATAAATTGAACAAATAGAAACAAAGATTTACATAGTTCAAAAAGAAGAAAGTCTCATACCTCCACGAGAAGTAGTCAATCACAACAACTACAGTGTTTACAAGTGTATTCATGAACCAAGTTTTCATGACAATTCTCAACAATCTCCACCTTTAAAGAAGATCTCCAAGCACATAACCTACTTTTGCTATCACCAATCAAACCGACTATTTCTTCCGTCCAATCTGGATCAACTCTATGTAATGCTGTAACTTTTCCAATCACCTCTGTCAACATATTCATATGATCATTAGCAATTCC